CAAGTGGTGAGGAGGTACGGCGAGTCATAGATAGCGGCTCGGATTGAGGAATCGGAGAGCCGAGTTAGAATTCCAGTCGAATCTATTACATTCACTTACGTGCTAATAACCTTGGACAAAGTATGAATCCTCTTCTAGCTATGGGCAAATGGCAGGACAGACCGGGTTCTGTAGACTTGGATGGCAACTGCTCTGCCGCAGAAAGAAATGGCAACCTACTGCGGGAAAAATCTGCCTCGTCAATCATGTATCGAAAGATACATGATCGCCTAAGCGTGTATCACGCATAGCACATAACTGACTGACTGACGTGCTAATACTCTTGTGAAAGGTATGAATCTTCTTCTTCTCCCCCCTCAGCTATGGTTAAATAGCAGGACAGACCGGGTTTTGTAGCCTTGGATGGCAAATGCTCTACCGCAGAAAAAAATGGCAACCTACTGCGGGAAAAAATCTGCCTCGTCAGTCATGTATCACGCATGGCACATAACTGATGTCTGACAAGTATGAGCAACCAGAGGGAGAGTAATGCAAACGTGAAGGTTTTCGAGTCTGTTTACTCCTGTTGCACAGTGAGGCTTATTGGAATATGAACATGACTCCCATCCCCAGTTTAAGTCAATATTTTGTTGACGTGCTTACTAAATTGCATTTCTTTTTCATAATAAGGCAATTTGATTGAATTGTTTCTTTGATTCGAACTGAATTGCCAATTAAAATAACATCAAAACGGAAAATACGGGGTTATAATAGAAAAAAAAATACTATTTATACATTAACTATGATTCCGTGTGTATTAGAGAGATAGCAAACGAGCGAGCGAGAGCGAGAGAGAGAGACACAGAGAGAGAGAGAGAGAGAGAGAGAGAGAGAGAGAGAGAGAGAGAGAGAGAGAAAGGAGTGGGTTTACTTGATCAGTGATAATCCAGAAAGTTTGGGGTAAAACAGCACAGGTGAAATCGTCAAGCCGAGTTCAAACGCGGATTTATGCTAAGTTCCAGCAAATTGTTACCAAAAAGGCATGAACTCACATCACCTTAATTAATATCCTGCCGAAATTTTTCGTCACTGGTCTGAAAGAAAGACGATGAGTGGGCAGATAGACAAAATCACCTTCCTTTAATTTCTTTACCTGCACAAATGGAAGTCACCAAAAGCTGTTACTCTCATAGTCAACCTTGTCCAGGTGGTTGTTATGGATCGAAGAGAGCAAAATCTTGACTATTTCTTGTTCCGGTAAAGTTGTCAGAAATGTTATGTTTGCAAATATCTAGAAAAAAAATTAAATGCTTAGAAAGAAACAAATTTTCGATTGGGGAAAAGGAAGTTATTTTTCTGTGGCAAATTGAGGAAGAAAACTTTTCAAACAGTTCGTCTCTGGCGATTTGTTTATCAAGAGATAGTTTTTTTTTCTTTTTAAATGTTTTTAGATATTTTTTCTTTTTTGTGTTTAATTTGATCAATGTTGTAAAAATTGCTCAAAATAAAACAGAAAAAATAAAGTCAGAAGAGAAGGTGTGAGGATTAAATATATAAAAAAATAAATTAAACTGAAAAAAAAAATCCCTAAAGAAAGGAAAAATATGTGTTGGGGAGAAAGAGAAAGAGATAAAAAGAGTGATAAAAAATGGAGGGAGAGTTGAGAGAGAAAGAGAGAGAAAGAAAGGTGGGGAGAGAAAGGGATAAAAAGAGTGATAAAAAAAGGAGGGAGAGTTGAGAGAGAAAGAGAGGTGGGGAGAGAAAGAGAAAATCAACGAAAAAAAACGAAGAGAGAAATTGCAACGTTCAATTTCATTTGAGTAAACAGACAGACGGTGCAATGATGTGCAACAAATGTTGCAATTTGAAATGCACTTTAGTGAATTTAAAACCGCCATATTTACCGCTTTCTCTTTTAGGGTTTTATTTTATTTTTGTTACTGCTTTAAATTTATTTGAATTTGAAGGCAAGGATATTGATGAGGGAGAATTTGTATAATGACAACAAAGCATAAAAATACATTTCTCGTTTCATTCTGTAATCATTTTCAAAATGATTGAAGATTTCCTTCAAATTTCACTCATAAAATACACTTTCTTTTTTTCTTTTTTTTATTCCTTAAATAGTCTTTTAGTTTTATTTCATTTTTAACGCATGTATAGGCATGAATGAGCTGCTATCAATTGACTCATATGTTCATGCTTAAATAAAACTACTATATATATTGATACCACTTTTCTTTATACTTGTCAATGTGTGGTATGTATGCATTTTTAACTTACACGCATAGGCATTCGTTTTTAAATATTTAAAATGATTTATCTAAGAAAATTATACAAACATCTCTTTTGACATTTTATGCTTATATCTTTTCATATTAATTCCCTTTATATTGTTTTATACATTAAACTATTCCATAGTCAGGAGCCTAAGGAATGATAGAAAGGATTCGCATGAAAATTTCGTATTCCAGCCCTAATGATTTTGAGAAATGCATTGATCCACATCTCCCTATCGGCACGATTAAGGATCGTTCCCTGGTGATCGTACTATATAATGCAGTATAACTTGTCACATGTTATTTAGAGAGAAGCTACACAGACTCAAGTAATCCCATGCATTTACCTTGAGTATTGTCATAAAGATAGATAGCATGGAATTCTGACAGTTTACTAGCTGAGAGACGTCTCTTGCCTTCAGCACTTATTGGGACTTCAGCTCTAGCCAGACCTCAAGTGGAACTCGTACATACGAGCCGTCGTTAAAGATGCCGTGAAAATGGCCGGTTCTCCGTACTTACTGAAGTACCTGACCTCCCTCTTGCTATTCTAGACATTTACGAGAGCCAGACCAGGCCAAAAAATAGAGTATTGCTACCGTATCCGGACAGAAGCGGCCCATACTTCAATTTCCTGTCTCGTCATTGTGGGTGGTGAATTATTTTTCATCATACAACGCCATTCCTACAGACGAAACGTTGCAAGCCTCTTGCCACTCTATTGCTATTTCGATGGAACGTATTCAGACGAATTACATTCCTTAGTTCCACCAGTTCTACCCTTCAGGTTTAACCTGCATATTGCAGCGAACAACGCTCATTTCGTTCTTATTTCACTTTGAAAGCTTCTTCTTACGCACCGCTACCGTCTGCCAAGAGGATGCTTCCATGATCATAACCTGTTCAAGTCTAGATTTAACCATTATATTTCCTACATATTTTCCACACATTGTGCCCTTTATCTCTAACTCTGTAACCCTCTGCCTCGAGTGGCACTTGTACAGGGTGAAGATTATTGTACAAAACGCTCAAAGAATAATTTTAAGTTAGAATTTCAGCGAATCCTATACGTAACAATTGCTATAAGTGTATCAGAATTTCTGTAAAATCTTCGACATTCAAGTTAAGTAGAAATTGTCGCCTAATATTTGTAGAGAGATAGACGCTCAAGACACCAAGAAGAGAATGTTTTTTATTGGCGGGAAGAAGGATTACAGTTCCTTATTTCCGCCAATAAAAAAAACATAAATGTGTGTCAGAAAAGGAATATTCCGCTCCATGAAACTTATTAAGCATTAGTAAAACCGGTTGGTTGAAATAACACTGAAACAGATAGAGGCGATACGAAAAGTGTTTAGTGTGCAATATAACATCCACATGCAACTAAACAAACATTGAAGTCTTAAAAAATAAAGTAATAAAAACTAATTTATCCATGTTGCCAAGGAAGTTATCACATACCGGGAATAATAAGCAAGTTTAAATACAGACAAAGGAATGAAAATCATCTAGTTTTAAGTGTTAAATGTTAAAGTGTTTCTCCAGAGATAGCAACGATGAACCGGTATCTCTCGAGCCGTGAGCGATAACTAAAGGGATATCTATCTAGGTTGCCTGCAGAGGGCGGGAACAATATTTTAGCTGGCTTTCTTTTCCCGCTAGTGCGGATTTGTCACTTGACACTTTACATATAAGAGCAGATAATTATGTTTGTATCTCAATAGAACAAATTAACTTCAACGACACGTTTGTACGAATTTCTTACCGACCGCGTTTACTTGCGAAGAGAATAAGAAACTCTATCTATCTATCTATCTAGCTAGCTAGCTAGCTAGCTAGCTAGCTATTGCATTACATAAGTTCACTGATAATCCCGGAAATAATCATCGAAAAAAATTATTTGGGAATAATTTTTGCATATTATCCTTAATTATAAGTTTATAATTATAATCCATGACATTAGTCACAATCGAAAAACATTGATTTTGATCATTTTAAAAGGCGGGCTCACTTCCTAATATAAATATCAATGGCTGACAAAAGAAATGTCTAGTTTGAAATTGTGCTTACCTCGCTGATAGTTGCGTACTGCGGATGTTCTTTTTCACAAACACGCAGATATTTTCTAAAATAAAAACATTGCATGTTAGTCCAATTTCCAACAAAAAAAAAAAACAAAAAAAAAACATTATTTTCCACGTCGTCAAGATCACTGTTTATACATTCTCGACGGCAACGAAAGAAAATATATCCGGGATTTGGTTTGTGATGCATATAGCTGTCACCACTGAGGAAGCAAATCACCCAATCCCTAGCTATGCTTACATTCATTGTTTGGGCTCCATAAGCATTCAGAGAGTGAACGTCAATAAGTGCAATTGTTTTTGCGTAAAGGAATTCAATGAAGGAATTCATGTCAGACGCCAATTTGCCAGTATACTATTTATAACAAGCCAAAGGCATTATGGTCTATTAAAGAGAGGTCCAATCCCTAATGCAGAATCACCAATATCGATTACTGGCTAATAAAATATGAGGCATTACTTTTAGAACTACTGCAAAAAGAAAAAGACAAAAGTATATATACAGAAAGTATATATACAGGAGAGAAAATTTGATGGGAGAGAAAAGGTATCTTGAAAGACAATTATTTGATTTTAGATCTTTACTGATCTACGTCTGGCACAAGGCAAATAGAAAGTTGGAAGATTTTGCTGTGTCATCCTTGAAATGTACAAACTGACGTTTGGAATTTTAGATTTTCATATGAAGCCTATTTTGGTACGAAAATCGGAGGAAGAGGAGGATCGTGATGCGCCAAACTTCAAAGTAGGAAGAAGCTACTAGCTTAATCCACATTGAGAAAAAGTTGGTGTCTCCCCTCTAGTCAGAAAGCAAGTAGATACGTAGGAATATGTAGGAAGAATATTTATTTAAGGAAACACGAGGGGTTGAATTGAGATTTTGGTCGATTGCAGTTAATTGACTGACATTTCTTCTGGTTCTTTTGCTAGCCTCTGAGAGGAAACAAAACTGAAGACTCTGTCATCAACATGGCATTGTCAATTGAGATTCTTTTTTCAAAGATCACGGAGAGATTTTTCAAAATAGTTTCAGTTCTTTTAAATAATATCAATTTTAGAACGGAAAATCAACTCGCTAAGCATTCACATTTTTCTTTCTATGAATATTTAAGGACAGATCATATCATACATACATACATACATACATATATATATATATATATATATATATATATATATATATGATCTTCAGGCGCTTAGAAATGGTTTTAAGCGTTTGATGATTGGTTCTATTGAAGTACAGACTGATTACATCGTGCGCTCAATTGCCGCGAGACATTTCGTTACGCGTGTGCTTGTCACATTTTTAACAAGATCCGAGAAATGTAACATTACATTATTTTGGCTCTATCCTAAGGATATTGAACAATGTCTTCAATATAATCAAAGATAACTTGTATCAAATTGGAATTATATTTCAATTAATTAAGTATTAAGTTGACCAAAAATTTAATTCTGTTTAAGTAAATTTTCTGCTTAAGTAAACGAACTTTTTGCTACACCAATAACTAAATGTTTATGAATGGCATATATGTAGGTATATATGTAGGTATATATGTAGGTATAGCAGGATGAAAGAAATTAGAGAAGGCAGAGCATGCTTTTTACACTGTATTGCCAATAATAATAATAATTAGAATAATAATATATTTATATATATATATATATATATATATATATATATATATATATATATATATATATATATATATATATATATATATATACACACACACACACACACACACACATATATATATATATATATATATATATATATATATATATATATATATATATATATATAGATAACTAGACTCGTTTGAAAAACCCTCGAATTTTTGATTTGCTAATCAAATCAATCTCGAGGGAAAAAAAGGTTTAAAAAAAGAAAGAGCTACAAACATGAACTTCTGCCGACAAAAATCGCACAGATCCCTGACGATCCGTTTAGGTGAAACCTAGGTAGGTTTGTCTGGCTCACTAGGTGTATCTATCTATCTATCTATCTATCTATCTATATATATATATATATATATATATATATATATATATATATCGTTTTTCTAACTTCTGACTAAGTTGTCTTATGTCAAAATTAACTTTTTTCGACATTTACAACAGAATTGTTATCAACATTACTAGTTTTGAACTTTACTAAAATATGCCCCACAAATACAAGGAAATTTTAGATTTACTGTATGATGAAAAAAATTAACTAACATAAAAAAATAACATTTTCAGTTTGAAAGACACATCTAATGTTTTTGTTCTGTTTTTTTTGTTTCAAAAAACTGTAACAAAAATTCTAATAATCAAATGAACTGTACCAAATTTCCTGTTTTATTTTGGTTGAGGGCACACTATGGAATTGCCTGTTTTGCAAATTCTGGGATTCCTAAGCCTGTTAGAATTAATTTCAGCATGTTTTAATGAAAGATTGCTGCTCAAATACGCCGCTATATATATATATATATATATATATATATATATATATATATATATATATATATATATATATATATACCCAAGTATATAATTGGTATATATGGAATGAATTCAATAACCAACAATTACTATTCTTAAAAAAGAGTGCTCAATACAAAGTAGAGCAGATATAATTATTTTTTATAAAAAATTATAACATAAATATGTTATAAAATCACTACAAAAATAGCCATTTTGTTTCAACACCCAGTGTCTTATCAAGTGAGGATGTTGAATGTAAAATAAAAGATTTATTCTACATTCAACATCATCACTTGATAAGACACTGGAGGTGTTGAAACAAAAATTTTTGTAGTGGTTTTATAACATATTTATGTTATAATAAATAATTTATATATAAATATATATATATATATATATATATATATATATATTATATGTATTTGGGCAGTAATCCTCTTTAATACATGTTTCATGAAAAAATCAGTGACAAATTAAGTTTGTTAAGTTTGTTGGTTTTTTTTTGTCTGCGAACAAGAGCTTTCTTTTGGGGATTTAGAGTGTCGAAATTGTTCAAAAAGTTTAATTTACGAAGCTTTGATCATATTCTTAGGCGCGATCATCCATGATTAATCAGGTTCGAAACTGGACACCATGTCCCAATGAATTTTGCGTGTGTGTGTCTTTCTGTATGTGCGCGTACACGCATGTGCGTGTGTGTGTGTGCGCGCGTGTGTGCTTACGCGTGAGCCCATATAGATATATAAATGATCTGAGTGATGCGTTTTAATCAATATTGTCCTTCCTCTTCGATTCCCATTGAGAAAAGCAACAAGAAAAATACGTAAAAAAATGAAAAAAATAGGAAAAATTGAGAATCAGAACGAAAACTGCATTTGAAATTACATTTATAATTAAGCTATATTATATTATCAAAAATCAAATCAAAACAGAACGCCTTATTTCAATGATTCAATAATAAATAAGCGAGAAAACAAGATAGAAACGGAAATCGTGTATAATATTTATTTTAATTTCTCGATTTAAATCTCGATATCTGATTGGCTACTTTTCTACTCGTCAGAATCTGCGAGGGAAGCAATATCAACGGATTGTAGCAGGAAGCATGCGTTGTTGCAGCCTCAACGATAACACCATCAAACGATGCTTCTTTTTTTTTTACTATTATTGAGAGATTTTTATTCGAAACATTTTAAGATTTTGGGATGGAATTTTCACTAACGAGTTTTGTCTGTCCATAATTACGCCCCTTTCTTTCTTTCTTTCTTTCTTTCTTTCTTTCTTCCTTTCTTTCTTTCTTTCTTTCTTATTCCGTTGGGTGCTACCAACAAACACGTCTTTTGCCGCCCACATGTAAAAACTCTGGAAAAAACTTCGTTGGATACAAATGAACTTAAGTGAACCAACCTATTTTGGGAATAGTCACTTTCGGTGAACGAGGAAAACTAATCAAAACAATAAAAACAAGGAAAAAAAAGAAAGCAGGCGACTTCGACAATTAATTCACTTGCAATTTAACTTTAGTAACTTGCCTGCTTCTCCCCAGCAGGTGTCTCCCTATATACCATCTTACATCAACACTTTTAACTTTGTTATTTACTTTTCGATTGTCTCAAGTGTCCACTTCGTAGCGTAACAGCTGAATAATGCAATCAAGGATTCAGCTTTCTTTATCGTTCTTGTCTCTTTCGTTTTCGGTTACACATCTCGTATTGCAATTCAAGTCCTTTTTGTAAAATTTATATTACAATGAATAGAATGCATCTTTAAAAATTGACCCTTATACTTAATTTAAAACCGAGTCATGAAACGCCAAGGAACATTAGACGGTTTTCTTTCACTCTCTCTCTTATGAATAGTGACATCCGACTGTTATACATATTTTTCTTTCTTACTTTATCTATCTATCTATCTATCTATCTATCTATCTATCTATCTATCTATCTCAGTCTGTTCATATCTATCTCTCTCTCTCTCTCTCTCTCTCTATCTATCTATCTATCTATCTCAGTCTGTTCATATCTCTCTCTCTCTATCTATCTATCTATCTCAGTCTGTTCATATCTATCTATCTATCTATCTATCTATCTATCTATCTCAGTCTGTTCATATCTATCTATCTATCTATCTATCTATCTATCTATCTATCTATCTATCTATCTATCTATCTCAGTCTGTTCATATCTATCTATCTATCTATCTATCTATCTATCTATCTATCTATCTATCTATTCAAAAAACAGCTTATGTACTTCTTCACAAATCTTTATTACAAGCATGTCGATATTGCATTTACCCGAAGCCATTTAACTGATCTTACTTTACATGCATAAATATATCAAAGTAGAACATAAGAAAATATTTATTAACGAACGAATTAAGGATTGAATAAAATCAAAACTTTTACAACTGGAATTTCCTAACTGCTTTATCTACTTGGTGTTTGAGGTGATTGTGTCACGAACGATCTTTTTTATTTTATTTTATTTTATTTTATTTTATTTATTTCTGTTTGGTAACCCAATCTAAAGAGGCAAGAGAAACAAAATTCAACTTGAACCGGTGTGAAAAGAAAACTTATTGTTCATATGTTTCATATAAAACTTATACTTAAATCTGGTATATTGATTTACAAGTAAAAATAGTTAGATATTAAAGTATAGTAGTGTTGCAATCGTAAGCTGTTTTGTGGAAGATAATCTGTGTTACGTATATAAGTTAAGTTGTCACAATCATTACGATAAAGCTGGTTTACCTGTTTAAAAACAATATTCCCAGTTTTAATTGGTAAATCGCAGTAAATAGCAGTTTTCTTTTTCTCTTTGAAGTGTGACACGACACTCTAACTCACCTGCCAAAATAAGCCTAATAAGACGACCTGTAAATACAAACTCGACAGCCTTTCCAGTTGTTAACTATTATTCATAAGCAATTTACTTTTAAAGGGTTTTATAAAGCTATTAATTTTCGATTGTATTTTAGAGCAGTGGTTCTTAGCCAATGGAAACTTTCCCGACTGTTTTGAATTTTAAGGTTTCAGTTGGCGATTTAGGCTGTAGGTTGGCAGATTCAAATTTTTGGTATCCTGGACTATAAACTACAAATGCTCAAGGGCATCTTTTGAATAAGAAAGCTTGCAATGTCATTTGAAATTATGAAGAAAAAAAAGAAAAGAAAAAAACGAAAATAATTGTTTGAGATATATTAGATAAATAACTATTTAATATAAATAGAGTATGAGACTGAAAGATTATGAATATTCCAAGTTTAAACAGAAATCCAGTTTTATCATGATGATTGTAGCAACTAAACTTATATATCAAACATATATTATCTTCCGCAAAACAGCTTGCGATTGAAACACGAGTATACTTCAATATCTAATTAATTTTACCTGTAAATAAATATACCAGGTTTAAGTTTCATGTGAACAATGAGTTTTCTTTTCACACCGGTTCAAGTTGAATTTTGTTTCTCTTGCCTGCTTAGATTGGGTTCGATCGTTCGGTTAAGTTAAAATAAAGACAACTTTTCCTAATTTTAGCATTAACTTTATTGAGCGACATATTGACACTTTTGCCCTGCCATTTTTTGTTTCCTTTCATAATTCCCTCTTCCCAGTCGTGTGTATCTTTCTCCTCAAATAACTATTTTAGATGTCTTTTGTAATCTTCCATAGACTTGGCCAGAATAAATACTAATCAGAAAGGTTAATATCTAATAAATATAGTGAATGGACTGATTATTCGAAACTAAACAGACTTCTGTTATAAAGAGAATTACATTACGCATTAAATTGTTTATTGTTTTACTGCTTGACTATATCTAAATTGTTTTTTTGTAATGTTAACTTAGGATGATAGAGAAACCACTTTTATTAAACTTGAGAGAGAAAATAATTTTTTTGAGTTTAATATTAAACACTCTTTTGAATGAAGTACAGATGAAATTTGAAATTTTATTTTGAAGTTATATTTAACCAATCAAGAAAACAGTCACCGATTCTGTCTGTAAACTTGTATTAAACCTGTTTTTATTTCTCATGTAAACCTCTTATCTTGTCAATTATTAATTATAATTCACCTTAATTAATATTTTTAATCACTGTTCATCATTTTGATATATATATATATATATATATATATATATATATATATATATATATATATATATATATATATATATATATATATATATAATATTTCAGAATGGCTGATTTATCCGGAAGGTGTTATTGGTCTCCCATGTGTGGCACCTTTGAAAAGTGCGTGTAAACTATACCTCGGCTTGACTGAAACTTTCTGACAGAACATTTCGGAGGCCGGCGATAGCTGCTGTTACAAGACATGCGACCGAATATTTGAGCATAATGGCGTTGCTGAAACTGTTAATGACGCCAAACGATGCACTCTCCGTTAGAAACTGTACTAAGGTCTGCTTAGTAGTATAACCCACAGGTTGGCTCTGGAGGTGTTAAGCAAACACAAAAAATGTACTTTAGCAGGGGTCGACAACTGGGACTGGTTAGTCGTCTAAGTAGACAGGTTTCCGGAAGCGAGTAGCCGGCCATTATATATATATATATATATATATATATATATATATATATATATATATATAGTCTTAAGGTGTGCTATATTTATGGAATAAAGGGCTCAATATCAGAGCATGTGTAAATATACATATATAAATGTGGCCTGACGATTGCGTCCAGCATGAAACAGACTGTCGCCTCTAAGTATTGACTTCTATGTTCACTTATAGATACACACACACACACACACACATATATATATATATATGTGTGTATGTCTATGTGTGTATGGCTTGAAGATTGTTCTGAAGCATGAAACAGACTGTCACCGTTTGAACTAAGTGCAACACCAAACAGCGACTTTTATATTTGCATAAGTTCTATCTCTGATACTGATCAAGTTTACTCGTAGATAGAGCATATATTAAAATTATATTTTCATATATATATATATATATATATATATATATATATATATATATATATATATATATATATATGCTTGTTTGGTGGCGTTTTATGAACGTGCGTATACGCATGTATGTTTGTGCGCATTGTGGCAGAAGGTAAAATAACGTTTTTTCTCGGTGAGCTCACAATTTCATGTTTAGGGAAAGCCAAGTTTAATTAAAATAATTTCATATTGACCCAATTAATGTTTCATTGTAAATTTGATTGTATCTTTTCCATCTTGAAAACAATGTTTTCAACATAGAAATGAATTGTTTTACACGCAACGTTCTGTTGAATTTTTTTCCGTTTTTTTTTCCTTCCGCAACTCCTGCTCTTATCTGAATAGTGTGCTGACGAAAACCAGTTTGCAGTGCATTCAATATCTGATTATCATACTGCTGCAATTGTTGTTCATATCACACCATTTTTTAATCTGACAACTGCTATTCAAGTTATCACTACTGTAATCATTGTAGCTGAATCCTGTCAAACCAAATTTCAGTGGTGATTTTCCTGTTAGTATTTGTATTTTAACACCAAACTTATCTGACGACCATCGTTGGGAATCGACTCGCAGAAAATTTCTATAACCATTCAACATTCCATCCAGAATACTTGATTATTTTTATTTCATAAACATACATGTTCACATCTGGTGCATTTTAATTATACAGCCATTTCTCACTTAACGAAATGTCTGTTTAACGACCACGGGACTTCTTTTTTTTTTTTTTGACGAGCTACATTGATTTATTCCAGACATTCACATCTAGGAAGTGCGATACAACGTCGAATCGGCTTCATTTCATTCGCATTCTATTGGTAAAGAACAAGTTTTACTAGAACAGCTTCTTCTTTAGAACGATTAGATTGTAAAACCGACACTGAAAAGGAGAATCAATACAACCATAACTTCTTCAAGTCTAGGTTCAACCGTTATTTATCTCATATATTTTCTTAATATGCACCTATTACCTTCTCTCTGGACGCCGTTGCAACAACCTCAATCAGCTACCGTCTCGTCTTTGTTGTTTTAGATCAAATGATAATAACCTCCCTCAAATCTCAAAAAATCTCCTTAATCGATTTTAGGAGTTTTGTGAATCAATATTTACACTATCTTGATTCTAATATTCTTTCATTTTTCTTGTGTGACCCTTCGGAAACGTTACCAGTGCGCCAAAGCCGATTGGCATGATATTTACTTTCATAAATTATCAAATAAGCTGTTTATATCATGATTAATACTGTATCTTTCTTGACTGAATGATAACATTACTTCGGCTCCAGCATTTTATTTTAGAATTATCACGATTCCAACAGCTTTAAATAGTTTTTAAATAAAACATATCGGTATTTCTTAATTATTTTTCTAATGATTCCTATCTTCTTTTTTTTACAGTAATAATTCTTTGCAACGAGAAGAACCTACGAATTATTATAATAATTCTAAGGATAAGAACTTAATATTAGCCAGAAATAATTCTCCTCTTGTAGCTTTAATGTGACGGAGTTAGCTCTTCCTTAATTCCCTAATTGTCACTAGGAGTCATTTTCCCTATACTATAAATACTGGGCGTCCTCTCTTGCTTCAGGTCTCGTGCCGCATCCCACCTCGCGTGGGGGTGAGGTAAATCCTCTTTTTCATTTCTTCATTTCAGTGACTACAATGTAAGCTCTCTTTATGGAAGACGCCGTGAACATTATACACAAATACACTACAAAATACGAACATTCACCAAAGAACAAACACAAATGTTTCCTACACACACAAATATTATTGTCTATGTCCATTGTAAAATTGTTTTGTTTAATACATATATTTGTTCATATATATACATATATATATATCGATCTTGTTTGTTTGTTTATCTTCTTTATCTTCAGTTGGACTTAACTTGAGTCCGGCAATTTTCTTGTAGTTGCACCTTTTAATATTCTACGAGGAGTTACATACGTGTTTCTAATACAACACATAAATACACACACGGTCCTCTACAAATGCAATAGGAATACCGAAAAATAAGAAATCCTCCCTTATGATCAGTGGTACCCAAATGGTGCAACGCGTCTCATATGCCAAAAATAGATTTCAACATTTCAATCATTATTATGGATTACTTGTAATTACATGCACGAGTCTCTGTATAAATAGTTATGAATAATTATTAATCGATTTTATCACTGTGATATTTTTTAATTATATCAAGTCTTAAGAATATAGTAACTAGGGTCCGCAAATTGGAGGAGAGAGTTATCAATGATAATTTTCTGATTTCGAACCCGCGATTATCTCCCTTTAGATCTCCCCCTGTTTTTTTAA